AACATCTGGGAAAGACTCAACAAGAAATGAAACAACGATATGACAAAAAGTTCAAGGATTCAATGGACCTCAGGTCGTTTGCTGTCGGCGATTTGGTGGTGTGTGGAAACCTCGTCTGGGGACTTCCATGTCCCATAAGTTCGAAGGACCCCTACCAAGTGGTAGAAAAGTTGGGAGACCTAAGTTATAAAATATCTAACCCTAATCTTTCAGAACAACAAATGATTGTGCATATCAACTGGTTAATGGCCTACTGTGGACCAAGTGTTGTAGCTTGCATTAGTAGGGAGGAGTTCCCACCTGAGGATGAGTGTAGTGAGGGGAATGATGTTAACATTCAACTTCTCAGTTCCAGTTCTGGAGGGAAGGAGATGCAATGTCATTTATAGGAGAAGCAGCAGCGTGATGAGTTGGAGCATGAATAGTGGGTGCTCAACATTGCAAACAGAATTATATGCCCTGAAGGAGGCAATAAACTATACAATTGAGAATAATTTACATGATGTCATCATTCATACCGACTCTAAATCTTCGCTCCAGGCATTGTTATCCAGTCAGCACAGAGATAATATACAACTCCTCACAGAAATTCAACACATAGGAAAAAAAGCCCGTAATCTAGAGCTGTCAATCACACTAAATTGGATACCAAGTCACATTGGCATAGATGGAATGAAAAGGCAGACACTAACAAAACCTGCCACTGCTCTACCTGTTGTACAGGTTCAAATACCTCCAAGTTTTTTACAGATTAAGTAGCAAATCAAGAAGAAAATATTTTCAACTATCAAATGTCGCCACAGAGCCAAAGTAGCGGAAGGAAGATCCACTGCGATATGGTACGATCAAGCCACTGGGTACTACTCTTTCAAGCCAGGCAAAAAGATATCCAGAGACATTGCAGTAGCCATACACAGACTCAGACTTCGTTACAAGTGCTGCTGGGAGGTAATAAACCCAATAGTTAAACAGTGTCACATCTGTGAAACAGAAACAGAGGCGCCACTATTGCACTACTTACTGGAATGTGAAGCTACTGAAGGCCTGCGCATCAAACTCAACATTAATCCAACGACAGCAGCTGCATTAGATGCACATTCCACCGCGACTACAATGATTAGAAAAGCCGTTGAGGAATGGGACTCACTAATGAGATCTACTCATCTCTTTGTCACTAATGAGATACCACTCATCTCTTCGTCATTATCCGTTATCTGACCTGTCTCGGTTTTTAATGGACCTATCCTTTCCCTAACCTTTGTTCGATATAACTGAAAAAAAAACTAGGATTTGCCTTTGCTTAGCCTGCTATACGAACGTATAGTTTCTTTTTCCTCTCCCAATCTCTTTTTTAACATTTCTAACCAGTTGTGCGAATTCTTGTTCTAAACTAACTTCCCCATTCTTAATCCTTTTAGGACAGAAGAAAATGTATATACGCTGGTTAGCATTGTAAATGTGTGGCCACGTTTGTGGTAGAAAATAATAATAATAAAAAATCCTTTTGTATCAAGCAGTCATTCTACCTATAAGGCTTTTCAGATCCTTTGTTATCAATTTCGTGTCATGTGTATTTGATCTATTCAATTTGTAACGTATATTAGTTTCCTATGCTTTGCTTAGAATATTTGTAAATAAGTTATATTTTGAATTCAAATTTAAATCCTCTTTTACATCACATATCGCTGAGTTCACGTCATGCTCCAAGACCGGCCCTTCCCCTATGCCCAAGACTTTCCATTCTATTTGACCCAAACAATTTCTTAGGGTATTAAAATTAGCTTTACGAAAATCTGGCACTTTAACAGAGTTTTCTCCTACAGATCTATTCCATTCTATGCTAAATCCGATTTCTTTGTGATCACTGTTCCCTAGTACACTCCCAGTTTCGATGTCATTAATCTGTGTTTCCCTGTTAGTTAACACTAAATCTATAATAATATTTTCCCGCGTTGGTTCCTTAATGTGTTGCGTAAGAAAGCAATCGTCAATTAATTCTAAAAATCTTCTGCTTCGTTATTCCCTGTTCTGCTAATCCAGTTTACTCCACTAAAATTAAAGTCACCCATGACACAGATACCTTTAGACCTAGATGCTCTAGATATTTCATCCCATAGATGCTTTGCTTCAATTCTGTCTAAATTTGATGGCCTATATATAACTCCTATTATAAGATTATTTGATTTTTCGTTTAATTCTAGCCAAATAGTTTGTGTGTGGCTCAGTTTTGATTCCCTCTTTGAGACTACATTTCAAATTGTCCCTAACATATATGGCTACTCCCCCTCCTCATCTAATATATCTATATGTGTGAAATAGTTTAAATCCATTTATCTGAAATTCAGCTAATAGTTCTCTATTTTCTACATTCATCCACGTTTCGGTAAGTGCAATAATATCTATTTTTTTCTGTAGAGACAAGAGCATTTAATTCGTTTATTTTGTTTCTTAGACTTCTGCTGTTAGTGTAATATACCCTAAGTGTATTGTTATTTTGAGGCTCTTCAATTTCCCTTGTCATTTTGCCAATTTCTTTCTCGCACAAACTCATACTGTTATTTCCTCCTTCCTCCCTATCAATTCCCATACCACTATCTACTAACAGTTTAAACCCTAACAAACGCTTCCAACCACTGGTTCCAACGAATTCGCAACAACAACCCCAATCCTCTGTAGATGCACCCCATCCCGAGCATACATTTCATTTCTTCTATAGAAATGTTCCCAGTTGTCAATTAAAGATATTGCATTTGATTTGCAATATCTTTCCAGCCGGCAATTGACACCAAGTGCCCTCGACAACCATTCATTTCCAACTCCCTTTCTTTGAAGAATGCCACATATGATGGGGATTCTTCACTTGCTCCTAACTAATTCTATGGCTGTTTTATACCGCTGAATCAGTTCCTCTCCTAACTCGACCAACATCATTTCCTTTCGCGCTAATACAAATAATGGGAGCGTACCCATTTCCAGCCATAATATCATTCATGTTGTTTATAATATCACCAATTCCACCTCCCGGATAGCAAACCCTTAACCTATTCCCCCTATCTCTAGCACAAAACGTTCTGCCTAAATACCTCACCTGGAAATCTCCCACAACCAGAATTCGCTTAGGTGCCTCCTTTACTTTTCTAGCACTTTGAGGGGCCTCCGCTTCATTGCTCCTAGTTAATTTTCCTTTCGAGTGAACTGCAGGTTCTCCACAGCACTCGTCTTCCAACACGGCAAATAAATTTGAAGTCTTTAGGGCGTCTGTAGGCGGCCTTGTCAAGGTCTTCTTTAAGACACCTGTCCTTTACGACTTTCTACGACGAGGTCTTTTTAATATTGGTCTCCCCCTCTGTTTCTTCTGGATGTTGTTTCAGCCATCGTACCTCCTCCTGTAGCGAATCCATCTCTGCTCTCAGTGATGGATTACTCAACTTGGTTCATCAGTTCCTTCACCAGATCTTCCATTATTGCAATGATAATATTTCTAAAATCGGAGCTCTAGCTAACACACCCTCTCACTTGAGAGGGTCTCCATCATCTGATGGAGACTTGACAGAGGGAAACTTCAACAGAGGTCTTTTGGTTAATGTGCGTTTTTTTAACTCTCTGAGGCAGAGTGTGGGATAGTGGACAGTCTCTGCGGTTCTCAGTGCTTCAGAACATTTTGTTATGACGCCCTTAGCAGAGTGTTAAGTGTTTTAGGATGTTCCATACCGCCACGCCCATCCATCTCCCTCTCTCAGGCTCCAGAGAGAGTTGGTGAGGGAAGCCAGATAACTTGCAGATAACTTACCTACTACTACGACTCGAAAATCATATGTAAGTATATCTTCATCACCTCAATACATTATTCCATCTATCTATCTATCTTACACTCCTATTCACGACTCCATACTCTCTTACTGAAAATGAGAGAAAGAGAGACACACACACCCCATCCTCTATAACCCCCTTCTCAACAACCCAAACCTAACCTACCACATACTGTGCCCGGTCTCCTAGGGCCAGGTGTTGGCACCATGGGAGCAAGAAGCCAGACCACCCCACTTCAAGCAAGAAAGGACATGCAGTGGGCCAGGCACCTCCCGCTAAGATACCCTTCTTACTCCTAACCCATTTCATTCATTCCAAGCACACGCGCCACACTCCTGTTCCGCATGCTCTGATCTCCTACCCCACATGACTTAACTTTCTCTAAGAATACATGCACACACCTATACAACTCTATGCTTGCAAAACATACACTTTCAACACTCATCTTCCCCTTACTACCACTACACAATCCGAACAGGGCAACACACACACCTGTTACATCTGTTCACATTCTAAACCTATCCTAACCACACACCCTATTAAACACATCATGACTAGAACCGGATGAGCAGGACATCTCTCACTGCGCTAAGACGGATCAACCCGCACTACCCGGGCAGGTGAACCACAGGTGGTTCACCTGCCCAGGTGGTCGTGCCCAGTCCTAGTCACAAATTACCCTACTTGATGAGACTGAGCTTCAGAGTTGCAGTGTTTATCTAATGATTTTATATCCACATAAAACACTTGCAATGTTTACTGTTGCTATTTCAGTCTCTTCTTAAAGGTGATCAAACTTTTAGTGTAGCTGAGTCATTATAGTTAATCTTGTAAGACAATCCGATGCACAAGTTTCCCAATACACTATAAACAACTGTTCTAAGCGAAACTTTTTGAAAGAATTTCCTCATGGCCTCCGTCCGCAATTCCATGATAACTGAAATAGGTATCTTAACATTTTCTGCAATTTTTACAGTAAGACTTTAGAGGCATCAAACAGTTGACGCCATATCAAACAAGCAAAAGGGAAGGGAATGCTGGTGTTGCCGCTAACCCTCCCTACACCTGATCACCACACAGTCTTAAGGCGTGTGCCCGCCTGCGCATCATCTGGGACATTTTCTCCCATTTTTCGATTTTAATCTTCGTCGCTGCAGTTATATTTTGGTCAGAGAAGGGAAACTAGCAGGTTCCTTGGATTATTTATTAAATGGATGGTAAACAGAAGCAAAAGAGAAATTATATAATATTATGAATAGAACATAAGTAATACTAAATACTATACATCACTCAGTCGTAACGCAAATATTCTCCTATTTATATTTTTACTACAAATGCATGTGTTGACTTTAAATGTTATTGGCTGGATATAAATATTTAGGAAATAGATGCCTTTCATGACTAATTATGGAAAATGCATAACAAATTTGTTTCTCACATTGAAAGAAGAGGCAGACTTTAAGGTCAGATTTGCCAAATAGATAACTACAGTGTTCATTTTCATTGTATGAACAGGCACTTAGGTGAACAGATATTGGGCTGAATTAAACATCACCTTTGTAAGAAGTTAGACATAACATATTTCTCCAGCTCAATTGTGGGGCCTGATGTAAGGGCCTTTGTTAAGTGAATGAATGATCGACCATCAGCCCCACCAAGGTCAATACTTTATGAAACATTAAGTACTGATGGACTTTTATATACCCATGTACTAAAAACAGGAAATTTATGCTGAGCTATATACAAATAAGCATTATGTAGTCACAATTGATTTATATTCACATTAATCCAGAATGCATGGTAGGCTTCATGTTCAACACTCACACGAGCGCAGAGGCTACGTCGTTTTCAGTGTTGCTGTCCAGTTCTCTCTGCGTTTTCCTACTAGTTTTGTTCATCTTTTTTATGATGCTGTCTTTTCGCCTGCTTTCCACGTCGATGACAGTTTCAGGAAGTGGTTTGTTAATTGTCTCCGGGAGGAGTGGCACGAGCAGGCTGACCAACACCCCAGCTCCCCCGAAGGCTACATTCGGGGCCCACCACGCCTGCTGCGCCTGTCGCCGGAGACACTATGTTAATTAAACACGTTTCACATAATATAACATCTAAAATTGGACTATGGAAAATTATATTAATTTACTTACTAATTAATATAACTATATGCCGTATCACATTTCTGTAGAGTGCCGGTCCACAGGCAAGAGAGGCAAAAAGATTCACTTCGACATGTCGAAATTTTCGAAAAGACGATTTTAATTGTTTAATTGAACTTTTTGAATGAAATAGACTGGAAAGTCCTGGGCATGGGGTTAGGCCATTTTGGAGCGAGAAGTGAACCCAGCGATGGGTGATGTATTAAGGGACTTCGATAGGGATTTAAAATATATCTTCTTTAAAAATATGTTAAGCAAAACACAGGAACGTTGTATACTATACAAATTGAATGGATAGAATAAAAATGACCCGAAATGGATAACACAGGATCTGAAGAACTTTATAAGAAGAAAGAGATCATGTTATAAAAGGATTAAGAATGGGGGAGTCAGTTTAGAACAAGAATTCGTCCATATGGTTAAAAATATTAAAAAAGAGACAAGGAAGGCAAAAAGAAACTATGAAGTTTGCAGAGCAGGATAAATCCTAATTTTTTTCAGTGAAATCGAACAATGATTAGGAAAACGATAGGTCCATTAAAAACTGAGACAGGTCGGATAACTGATAATGACGAAGAGATGAGTAGTAATTTTAATTAAATATTTTATCTCTTTACTTACTAAAGAGGAACTTAACGTTATTCCTTCAGCCAAACAAATCTATGTGGGTGGGGAAGAGGATAGATTGACTAGTTTAGCAGTTACCAGAGAGGATGCTATTCAACAAATAGTGAAACTGATACCAAACAAATCCCCAGGGTCAGACGAAAAGTTTGCCAGAGTGCTTAAAAAATGCAAAGAGGAGTTTTAAGAGCCATTGTCTACCATATTTAACAAATCATTAGAGTCAGGCAGAGTGCCAAAGTTGTGGACGGTTGCTAATGTGGTACCAGTTTTAAATAAAGGAGATAGATCACTTACGTCTAACTATCGGTTAATTAGCCTAACGTCTATTGTGCGAGTAACTTGAATCGATATTTGCAAATACCATTCGTCTTCATCTTGAAAAACATAAATTAATAAATGATTTACAACATGGTTTTACAAATGGCCGTTCATGTTCAACAAATTTGCTATCATTATATTCCAGCATAGTTGATGCAGTTGACAGTGGTAAGATTTATGATGTTATGTACCTTACTTCAACAAAGCTTTTTATACAATGCCACATTCATAATATACATAAATGCTTTAGATTCAGGTTTGAGCAGCAATATTTGCAAATTTGCCGAAGATGCACAAATCAGGAGGGAAATAAACATGGGAAAAGATTCATTATCACTCCTAGACATATAAGAATAAGAAAATAACAATAAAGGTAACTGCAGAAGGCCTATTCGTCTGTAACGTACGCTTATGTTACGTTGTTGGGTTGATTAGATACACAGTGTTTAGTGAGTTTCATATTTATTTAGTAGTCCTGGATACAGCAGTGTCGCAGACGTTGAGACGAAGCCTGGAGCAGAGCAGAGAGCTGAGTGAGGCCGGAGTCGTGGAGCTCTATGCGGCAGAGCGTGGCGGCTCGATTGGGAATTGCGAGTGTCTGAACTCTGGGAGCGAGAGAGTTGTAGCTGGATGTGGTCATAGTCTGCTGTCTGCTCTGTGTCGAAGCTGTAGCGTCTTAGGTCGATTAGAACTGCCCACGCCGAGTACTTCATTCTTGACTGGAGATTGTACTTTTTTGCTATTCTCAAATCGCTTGCTTAAATACGGTGACTACAACTCACAGTAAGATAGGCGGGTGGAAAAACCGTTACCTGTAACGTCACCTGTACTCTGCCTGACTCAATAGTCAGGCAGAGTGCCAGAGTTATGGAAAGTTGCTAAAGTGATACCAGTTTTTAAGAAAGGAGATAGATCACTTGCGTCAAACTATCGACCAAATAGCCTAACGTTTATTGTGGGAAAGTTACTCGAATCTATAATTGTAAATAAAATTCGTCTTCATCTTGAAAAACATAAATTAATAATTGAGTCACAACATGGTTTTATAAATGGCCGTTCATGTTTAACAAATTTGTTCTTTTTATTCTAGCATAGTTGAGGAAGTTGATAGTGGTAAGGATTGTGATGTTGTGTACCTTGACTTTAGCAAAGCTTTTAATACAGTACCACATGAAAGACTGATTAAAAAGATAGAGGCTCATGGTATTGGGGGTGCAATATTAAGCTGGATTAGGGCATGACTATACCAAAGGAAATAGAGAGTTAGTATAAATATATTACATATATCACATATATATAATATATTATATATTATATATATCACAGATTATTATTACATCACAGATTATATATCACAGATTATATATTAGACGAGGAGGGGGAGTAGCCATATATGTTAGGGACAATTTGAAATGTAGTCTCAAAGAGGGAATCAAAACTGAGCCACACACAGAAACTATTTGGATAGAATTATACGAAAAAGCAAATAATATTATAATAGAAGTCATATATAGGCCACCAAATTTAGACAGAATGGAAGCAAAGCATCTATGGGATGAAATATCTAGGGCATCTAGATCTAACAGTATTTACGTCATGGGTGACTTTAATTTTAGTGGAATAAACTGGTTGAACAAAACAGGGAATAGTGAAGCAGAAGATTTTCTAGAATTAATTGACGATTGCTTTCTTACACAACACATTAAGGAACCAACACGGGAAAATAATATTTTAGATTTAGTGTTAACTAACAGGGAAACACAAATTAATGACATCGAAATAGGGAGTGAGCTAGGGAACAGTGATTACAAAGAAATCAGATTTAGCATAGAATGTAATAGACCTGTAGGAGAAAATTCTGTTAAAGTGCCAGATTTTCGAAAAGCTGATTTTAATAGCCTAAGAAATTTTTTGGGTCAAATAGATTGGAAAGTCTTGGGTATAGGACTTAAATAGGTGACTTAAATGGGGATCGATAGGTGACTTAAATGGGGATTTCGATGTGGATTCAATATATAACTTATTTAAAAATATTCTAAACAAAGCACAGGAACGTAGTATACCATACAAATTGAATAGATCGAATACTAATGACCCAAAGTGGATAACAAAGAATTTGAAGAACCTTATAGGTAAAAAGAGAGCTTGGTACAAAAGGATTAAAAATGGGGAGGTCACTTTAGAACAGGAATTCGTACAACTGGTTAGAAATGTTAAAAAAGAGATAAGGAAAGCAAAAAGAAACTATGAAGTTCGCATAGCAGGGCAAGCAAAGACAAATCCTAAAGGGTTTTTTCAGTTATATCGTACTAAGACTAGGGAAAGGATAGGTCCATTAAAAACTGAGACAGGTCAAATAACAGATAGTGATGAAGAGATGAGTAGTATTTTTAATAAATATTTTGTATCTGTATTTACTAAAGAGGAACTTAACAATATGCCTTCAGCCGAACAAGTCTATGTGGGTGGGGACGAGGACAGGTTGACGAGTTTAGCAGTTACCAGGGAGGATGTTCTTAAACAAATAGTAAAACTCAAACCAAACAAATCCCCAGGGCCGGATGAAGTGTTTGCTAGGGTGCTTAAAGAATGCAAAGAGGAGCTTTGTGACCCACTGTCAACCATATTTAATAAATCAATAGAGTCAGGCAGAGTGCCAGAGTTTTGGAAAGTTGCTAATGTGATACCAGTTTTTAAGAAAGGAGATAGATCACTTGCGTCTAACTATCGACCAATTAGCCTAACGTCTATTGTGGGAAAGTTACTCGAATCTATAATAGCAAATAAAATTCGTCTTCATCTTGAAAAACATAAATTAATAATTGAGTCGCAACATGGTTTTATAAATGGCCGTTCATGTTTAACAAATTTGTTATCTTTTTATTCTAGCATTGTTGAGGCAGTTGATAGTGGTAAGGATTGCGATGTTGTATACCTTGACTTTAGCAAAGCTTTTGATACAGTGCCACATGAAAGACTGATTAAAAAAATAGAGTCTCATGGTATTGGGGGTGCTATATTAAGCTGGATTAGGGCATGGCTATACCAAAGGAAACAGAGAGTTAGTATAAATGGAATCAAGTCAGAGTGGGAAAATGTTGTAAGTGGAGTGCCTCAAGGCTCTGTCCTGGGACCTCTGTTGTTTATAATATATATAAATGATTTAGATTCAGGTTTGAGTAGCAACATTTGCAAATTTGCCGATGATACGAAAATCGGTAGGGAAATTAATTCGGAGGAGGACTCACTATCACTTCAAGTTGATCTAGATAGGGTTTTGAAATGGTCAAAGGATTGGCAGATGCAGTTTAATGCTGATAAATGTAAAGTTCTGAGGTTAGGTAATGATGATAGAGTTACAAGATACGAGCTAGATGGTGTTGTGATTGCGAAGTCGGATTGCGAAAGGGATCTGGGAGTTATGATTAGTAAGAATTTAAAACAAAAGGATCAATGCATAAATGTTCGTAATAAGGCAAATCGGACACTTGGATTTATTAATCGCAGCGTTAGTAACAAGACACCTGGTGTGGTTCTCAAGCTATATCTTGCTCTAGTTAGGCCCCATTTAGATTATGCAGTTCAGTTTTGGTCGCCATATTATAGAATGGATATAAATTCACTTGAACGTGTCCAGCGTAGGATGACTAAGTTAATTCCCCAAATTAGAAATCTTTCATATGAAGAAAGATTAACAAAGCTTAAGTTGCATTCACTGGAAAGGCGAAGAGTTAGGGGTGACATGATAGAGGTTTACAAGTGGATGAATGGACATAACCGGGGGGATATTAATAGGGTATTAAAAGTATCAACACAGGACAGAACACGAAACAATGGATATAAATTGGATAAGTTTAGATTTAGGAAAGACTTGGGTAAATACTGGTTCAGTAACAGGGTTGTTGATTTGTGGAACCAATTGCCGCGTAACATTGTGGAGGTGGGGTCCCTCGATT